CCATTTATGTTTTGTACCTTACTATAGCTCCTGACACTTCTTTCAAGGGGAAATGGAAAGTGGTGACACTCCATTTGGATGCACTCTGTATTCATTTTTTACAGCTATAAACAACCCACCCAGTGAACAGCCAAAGGAGAATTAATCCCCAGGCATTATTCCAAACAGGATATCACAAGTGACTTCAAAGTGCATAATTTAGACAAAGGCCTTTCTCTAGTCACAGTTGCCTTAAAAAGAAGATGGACACACGAAGAGCAGATGCCTCTGAAAACTGAGGCCTCCAAAAATTTATCCCTGTAAAAGCATCCCAAATATTGATTTAGACAGATCATCTGAATCATAGCAAAAGTGAGATATGCCAAAGAAGTAGCTAGATCCAGGAAAATTGAAAACATTACCTTCTACTAGTCTTCTGGCAGAGGCTAGCATCAAGGCCATTCCTATGTCCGCCGTTGGGTCCGCCACGGCGTGGGGGGTGTTGGTCACTTTTACTCCAAAGCTAGAGATCATTTTCAAGTCTAAGTGATCAACTCCAACTCCAGAATTTCCAATTACCTTTAAATTAGGCAGGCTTTCTAGAAGCTCACGGTCAATAGTTGGCCTGCACTCAAACACGAAAACAGATTGGATTTTTTTGCTCATTTCTTCTTTGTTTTCAAGAAATTCCTTCATGGTGATAAGGTGAAAGTGTTTCTTCAAAAGCGCTGCAAGGTTTTCTAGCACACCTTGAGTTCCTCCTATATCCAGAATCAAAACGCCTGGCAACTCTTCTTTTGCCATGACCTGCAACAGTGGAATGGAAGAGATACTCCTTTGTTCAGGAAAACACCCTTAGAGAAGCAATGAGATAGTGATCATTTAAATTCACATCTGTAAAACAGGAACTTGATGGAACTCAATACTGCTTTTAATCCACAGTCACTTGGTACTAATGTGGTGCATTAGACAATTTCCCAGTACTTTTCCCGAATGCTGATTTAGACTACAACACCAAGGAATACCTGCACTCTTAGATCAAAATCCAGTCCTACAAAATGTTATTTGCAAATAGTTTCATTTTAGTCCTGAATCAATACTGATTTCATACAAATCCGGCAGCTTTTCAACCTTACATACCAATGCACTTCTATAAACAGTGGTATGAAACAGAGGCTGCTCACAGTTTCTTGCCTATTGGTTAATGGTTGGTGAAGCTGCAGGTATTGTAGGGTGGCACTGAGCCCCAGATGGGTCTGACAAACATCTGTCAGGAATGGTTTAGCTCTAACAAATCTGCATGATGAAGGGCCATCCTTAGCTGCTAGACATCCAGATCTGTACCTGAACTTGTGTAAAATTTAGCACACCCATGCCTATATGCTGAACCAGTGGGGAAGAGCACTAGAGGTGATAATGTAATTCCCACCAACAACACAGTCCTTCATACTAGAACTTTCTTCTGCCCAGACATTTCTGAGCCCAGTTCTCTCTACCACACTCCTGCAAATGTACTGTATTCTGCAATAAGACGATACCAGCTCCACAGATAACCAAACGTCTGATTAGAGGCAGCTCTTATTGATAAAAATGGTAGTTGAAGATTTGCTGCATATCTTAACAATAGTTGTGCCTAATTTCCTACAATTCTGCTTGCTGTACTCCACTGATGTTCAGTCTCCATCTCATACTATGTCCTATGCTTGGGTGCAGAAAACCTGATGTTGTCCTAACTGAATCAGAACAATTTTCCCCCGCAGTATGCTGATTTATTCTGGGCACACAGTACTGGGCAGAGATGTCCTGCTGCTTCAGTCCTCTCACAAAAACCTTCTGCAAGTAACCAGAGTTCAAACCTGTGACAAAAAAGTGTCAGCATAGATTGGAAGTTTTTGTCAACCATATTTACCCTTGTCCTGAGCAAACTCAGACTTATCCCAACCACAACTATTAAATGCTTACAATCTCAACACCAATAATGCTGCTTTATCCTGGCCTTGACTTGCATTTCTTCCTCAGTTCCAGTCTGCTGTTGTACATGGGCTTGAAGGCGTCTCCATGTTAGGACAGGTCTGCAATTCATCATAAACAATGTCTCTGATAATACTACCTAGTTCTGAACAGCAGCAAACAAGGCAATGAGATGAATAGTGCAACCAAATTGCAAAGGAAAACCATGTTCTGAAATATATATCATCTATTTTTTGCAAACTTAGGTTGTTAGCCCCATGTGGTTGTGAAAATTCAAATTTTCCCAGATGTAGTCTATATTTCTGAGAGTATCACACAACATGACCTTAGAAGGATAAACTAGATTCATCCTCCAGAATGAATGACACATAGAATAAAATACAATACAAGAAAATATGATGTCATATTGTGACAGCATTGTCCGGCTTTTTGATCAAAACCTGATGCTCCTGCAGTAATTTACTCAGACCAGGTGGCAATTAACCTGTATGCTGTTAACAGTGGTGGAAAACTGGGCACCAGATATCATCAACTGACTGGCAGATGCCAGTAAGACAGTGATGTTTTACACCATTTGCTTTCATCACCACTTCCTCCTCCATGAACGGCAGAGTCAGAACTGCATTCATTTTAGAACCACTTCCTACACTGCACAAGCAGAAAGGTGATCCACGAGGAAGCCACTAGCTTTAAACAAACAGCTGGTGCACTAGAAACAGTGCTGAACTAGAAACAGGCTGGCTGCATGTAATGAATCTTTTCATTCCTGTGGGCATGCTCAGTTTGCCACCATTTCAGCTGTGTTTGATGTGCACGTGAACAATTAATAGGCTGCAGCACTGGTTCAAGAACCGATGTTCTGCTAATACTGGGTACAATCTTAAAAAATTATACTGATAGCAGTAAACTAAAAACACTTAAAGGAATCTTGCAGAAGAAAGGGGGCTCTCCAGATACCAACCTTAGCCTCAGCACTTATTGTTCGTCTTCCAGTACTACATGGGCATGTCCTGTACCTCTGTTTGTAAATCACACTTCTGTGACAGCGACGTCCATGAGAAGCAACAAGTTGATGAATAAATTTGTAAGCCAAATTTGACTGGCCAGACATCAACGGAATTGGTTTCAACAGATTGAATGCCTTGCTCAAGAACATAATTATTCAGTTATCAGATGTCTTGTCCAGTGTGCTAAATATAACACCTGTCAAGGATATGACAATTTTGGTTTTGCACTAGTATCATTTGCAGTACCACTAACACCCTTTTTTTTTTTTTTAAACTGTCTCTCTTCATATTTTGTATTTACGTAAGATTATATGCTTCTATGTATGTAAGCAATCCTAATCATGTGTAACACTGTGATATAATGTAAATGAACTAAGTTCTGGTCCTGGCATTGCAGAGAAAATTTTGAAAATATTACTTAGTTTGAGACAACTGGGCAAACAAAAAGTACTGCATTAAAGTATTCATTTTAGTGCTAACTGAAGTAGGCCTTACTTCATCTATGGAGCTGGAGTCACTCCATACTTGCAGATTTTGTGGCTGGCACTGCTGTATGACTTTGGACTTTGCCAAATCACAGCAAAAAAAACCTACACGATTTTTCCTATCTCTGTTTCAATTAAAGTTAACAGCATGCGTTATCCAGGATAAATTCCTCCCGCTAACTTCTCTAAAGAAGGTGACTAATTACCTGAACAACAACCAAAGCACTAACCAGGGATGGTTTCTTTCTTACGACGTGCCTTTCACAGCTCGATCCTGCGGTACCTGGAAGAGCGGAGAGCTCACAGCTCCTGCTCCCGGCCGGGCACAGTCGCTCCTGCCCAGCCTCGCTCGCTTAACCCTGCCCTGCCCGGCCCGACCACCGCCGATCCGGGAGCTGGCGGATTCCAAGGAAGTTCCGGCACGCGGAGCACCGCCTGCCGCTGCCTCTGCTTGTCTGCAATCAGACCAGGCTGCCTTTCCTCTCCTCTCCCGCCCCCGGCGCTGGACTTCCTAGAAATGAGATAAAGCCAAAGGAGGACTTTGATAGTTTTTTGAGAGCTCTGCAATTATGGGACAAAGTTACTTGGTACAAATTCACATTGTTCCCCACAGCCCAAGCTCAAGCTCGTACTGTTTTTTTTTTATAGTGGAAACTGTGGTTTTCACCCTGTCTGCTGCAAGCTAAGCTTTTAAAGAAGTGTGCAGTGTAGAATAACGCCTCTCAGGAAGCAAACAGAGTGGCCTGGGATGCCCTATCCCAATGGCCAGCTCGATTCTGAAAGCTAATGCTGAAACGTGCTGCTTTCACAGCTGATCACTTCCACTGGAACACTTATCCAGTGTGCTCATGTACTGGTATTTTGATTGCAAGACAGATGAGAGAGCAATAAAGGCATGCAAGGGTGAATCTGCCAGGGGCTGGGCAGTGTAGCTGCCACTGCTGGGGGTGGTTCTGTGTGTAGTGTGTGTGCATCAGAAGGGAGTGCATGAAAATTTTCATTCCTGTGGGTTAACACACTGAGAGAAGTCTTCCATAACCAGGAGATGCGTGCAGCTGCTCTCTCTGTTGCAGTATAATAGAATCATAGAATGGTTTCGGTTGGAAGGAAGGGACCTTAAAGATCATCTAGTCCCAAAGCCCCTGCTTTGGACACCTGCCACTAGACCAGATTGCTCAGCGCCCCGTCTAACTTGAACAGTTCCAGGGCTGGGGCATCCACAGCTTATCTGGGCATATCTCCTTGATCGAATCCCATAGAGACACAGGGAGTTTATTAACATCGTAGAGTGGCCAGCAGCAGAGACCCGGAGGTTTGGGCTCTGATGATCCCCATTCCATCCTCCCTGTGCCACCCAGCAGCACTGCTCGGGCCGGCCGCACCGATCCCCATGGCACGGCTCCAAATCGCACCTGCGAGGGGCGATCCCCGAGGCCCTGGCCAGCAGACAGGCAGCACCACGTGCCCACCCGGTTGGACACCGGGCTCCTCGGGCAGACGGGCCCCCTGCCAGTTCGGGAAGGGGGAAGTCCCGCCCTCCGGCGGGGCGGAAGCGCGTATGAGCCTGCGCCGTGCCCATCCCTCATTTCCGCTTCCCGTCCCGACCCGTCCCGGCCCGTCCCGGCGCTTCCCGCCACCCGTATCTCCGAGGAAAGGTCGCCCGCGGGTGCGCTGGGGCGGGGGCGCGGCGGGATGATGGAGGGATGGATGGGGCGGGGCGGGGCGGGGGACTCCTTGCTGCCGCGGGCCGCGAGGTGGCGCCATGGGGAGTGTGGGGGTGGTCGGTCCGGGGGCTGTGGGTGCCGCGGGAACCAGGACGGGCTGTCAGCAGCCGGGGCATTCCTGTCGTCCCGCAGGCTCGCCATCCGCCCGCCAGGATGTCGTACATGCTGCCGCACTTGCACAACGGGTGGCAGGTGGACCAGGCCATCCTGTCGGAGGAGGACCGGGTCGTGGTCATCCGCTTCGGGCACGACTGGGACCCGACGTGCATGAAGATGGACGAGGTCCTGTACAGCATCGCCGAGAAGGTAAACTGGAGCTTTCTGCGCCTTCTGCGTTCAGTGTTCCCCATGGCTTGCTCGAAGCCCGGGGCAGATTGTATATAACTCGGGTTCTGGAAAGGTATTCCGGCTTTAGGAGGCAGTGGGAAAGCTGTTTGTTTTGCTTTCGTGAGTGTCTCCTAGAGTCACTGACTGACCTGATGTTTGCAGTATTTAATGGGGTGACAAGATTTCTGAAATCAAGATCACTGCCTTTTAATAACCCATCACTGAATGAACGACAGCATTCAAGCAAGAACAGGTGCTCGATGGTAGGGCTGTGGCTCTAGGTAAGGCAGCGCTCTCACTTGCAATGAAAATATATAGCAGCTTCAGGTTTCCATTTGAATAACTTGGAAAGTTACTTTTATTTTGGCTCTTAAAAATGGTGAGGTGCTAAACTGTACAGGATAGTGTTGATTAATTTGTCAGTGTTATTATTCTGATTAATCTGTCAGTGATATTTGTGGAGACAGATAGCATTCCTCTTGAGTTGCATGGAGTGAATTAAATTTTAGAAGCCAAACTCTAAAGCTGTTTTCAGATGGAAACTGAATGCTTGCTGACAACTGGTTGCTCACTTAAGAAAGATACTGAAGAAAAATTAGACTGTTAAAATACACAATCAGCTAGAAGTTACCTTTTCATATATTTGCTAAAGGTTTTGCGTAGCGATAGATGTAGAAAATTGATAACTCTATAACTGAACCACATGAAAAAAAGGAGCAAAAAAATCTGAGCCATAAATGGTAACTTGGGTAGGAAAAGATGTCAGATATCATAGAAATCATGGAGTGGTTTGGGTTGGAAGGGACCTTAAAGATCTTGTTCCAACCTCCCTGCCCTGGGCAGGGACACCTTCCACTAGACTAGGTTGCTCAGGCCTCCATCCAACCTGGCCTTGAACACTTCTCAGCATGGGGCATCCACAACTTTGCTACCTTCATATAAAATTCTAGGCATGCTGCATAGCTTGATATGGTATTCTTTTTGTGGTGTACTCCACTGTCTTCTGATGTTATTTTTAAATAAATTAGCTTGTGTCTTGAAAATCCCCACAATGAAAGATCTATACCTCCAGCCATGTGTTAAGACAGAATACACTAAGGAGTTGTGACATGTTTTGGTTTAGTTGTTTTGTGTTCAGTGTGGTGGGAGTGTTTTATGCTCAGATACTGTTAGTATGGACTTGTGGCAGGATGCTTGGCAATTTGGCAGACATGCTGGCAGTTAGGGGTGACTGGGGGAAGAAAGAACAATGTAACTTCTTATTTAAAAATCTCCCTCTGCAGAAATGGCAAATTAAAGGGGGAGATCCTTCCTCATCCTCTTGCTTACAAGCCATGTTTGGATCTCTGCTGTTTTAAAGAGTGAGTAAAAGTTCCAATTGTACAGGTGTTTATACTGGAGAATAATTCAGAATGTTAACGTGCTGTAATTGCAATAGACATTCAAAGACAATGTAGTCATATTTTACATTTGTTACCATGGTGCATTATTCTTTTAGAGTGCAGCATATTTTTGGGTAGCAGTAATATTTATCTGTACTTTATGATAGGAAAATGGGAATCCTTTTGGGGAGGAGGAAACTAGAATGCTGTATGAAAATACAAAGTAGATTATATTCACTGAAATGTACTCCACTTGCCATTGACTGTTTTTCCCCCCAGTGTTACATGAAAAAGAAGCAAGGTTTCACTGAATGTCAAAACAAACAGTAATTGTAAGATGTTAGATTTTTTGCCTTTTCAGGGTTTCAACCAAACATGTATGAATTGAGTTCCACAAGTTTCCTCTTGAACACCTTTTTTCAAAATATACTTTTTTTTTTCTTTAAAGGAAACTCACAATTATAAAAACCCATCCCCTGAAATACAGGGCTTTGTTCGCTAAATTAATACCCCTTGTTTAAGTGATAAACCATGATTTATCTATGACTGAATACTGTAAATCAGATAACTGTTTTATTGGGTCAGTGTGGGTTTAGGGAGGATTGTTCAAATGCTGAGCATTTATTTAACCATAATCAGAAGTGTGAGAAGCTATGGCTTTTCCTCAGACGTTAATTGTGCCTCTGCATTTCTGCTAAGGTTACATGGAAAGTGAGAGAGGAAAACAATGTGGGGCACGGAAAGAGGGAGCTATAAAAAAAGTGTATTGGTATTGTAGTTACTGGTGATTTTGTAATTAAATTTGAGCAAGGCTAATCCATTTACTGATGTCTGTAGTTTTCAAAATTATTAGCTGTAAGTGTTGCTCTTGGTGGTATAATGGCTTTCTCTTTTCCTGTAGCAATTTATCACCTAAACTTACAGCATAATTAGCAAGAAAAAAAGATTCAATACAGACTTTTAAGTTTGTACTTACTCTGTTGAGTTCAGTAATGCTAGTCTGCTAGTTGCCTTCAACTTGAATGATATGTTGCAAAAGCTAGTCTCAGCTCCTGTATTTTTTTCCTGTAAGTTCCTTGTCCATAAAATATGTAAACAGAAAAAAACATTGTCTGGAAACTGGTTAGGAAAATGAAAAGATGGAATCTTGTTTCAGTTTTTCTGAGATATTTGCTGTATGTGGTTTGGGATGTAAGGTTTGCTTCGCAAGGGCAGCTTAAATCTTAACCAAAAAAAAAAAAAAAAAGAAGAGTATTACTTACCTCTGACAGAAATTTCAGAAAACTTCATGATTTTTGCCGTTCATCCCAGTCATTAATCATTTCCATGTCAATCTCATCTTGTAGGAATGCATAAATTTTTTTTTAGAATGATATAATTATTGAAGAAAGTCAGAAGGGAGAACTTCAGAGGACAGATAATACTGGCATATGATTTTTCCTACATCGGTGTTTCCTGTATACCAGCAAAGTGTGTGGTCTTCAACAAGATAGGATACAGAATCTGTACCTGATGTTAAAGGTCCTATAGATTCCTCTGCTGTATAGTCTTGAGCCATTCAGTTTAAATATTTAATAGTAGTCCCCAAGCAGATAGAGTTCTGTGAAGTATTAAAATAGCCTGTAACTGTGGCTAGGCAATAATGTACTTTTGGTTTTTCTATATGTGTGTTGAGTAATGTCCCCAAGTTCCTCAAAATGATCACTGTGCTTCATGAGGATCAGCGCGGCCAAGTCAGATATGGCGATGCACTTTCTGAGCCCTTTCTAATAACCAATGCTGTGAAACAACGTTGCGTTCTTGCACCAACCCTATTCACAATCTTCTTCAGTATGATGCTCCAAAGGGCCATGGTGGACCTTGATGAAGAAAACGTTATCTACATTCGATATTGTACTGATGGAAGCCTATTCAACCTAAGGCGACTGAAGACCTTAAATCATCTTGTCCGGGAGCTGCTTTTTGCTGATGATGCCGCCCTTGTTGCCCACACAGAAGCAGCTCTGCAGTGTTTAACATCCTGCTTTGCAGAGGCTGCTGAGCTCTTTGGGCTGGAAGTCAGCTTGAAGAAGACAGAAGTTTTCTCCCAACCTGCACCTCAGGAAGTTTTCCATCATCCCCATATCACCATTGGCCAATCAGAGCTCAAATCAGTCCAGCAGTTTAATTATCTGGGAAGCATCATCTCCTCGGACGGTAAGATTGACAAAGAGATAGACAACAGGTTAGCAAAGGCTTATAGAGCTTTCAGAAAACTCCATAAAAGAGTTTGGTGTAATAAACACCTGAAGAAAAGTACAAAGATTAGCGTTTATAGAGCCATTGTGCTGTCTACTCTTTTATATGATTCTGAATCCTGGGTCATCTACCGCCACCACCTGTGTCTCCCAGAACACTTCCATCAGCGCTGCCTCCGTACAATCCTAAACATCCACTGGTCAGATTATGTGACTAATGCGTCTGTTCTAGAACAGGCAGTGGTTACGAGTATTGAGGCCATGTTGCTGGGAACACAGCTGCGTTGGGCAGGGCACATCTCCAGGATGAAGGACCACCGCCTCCCTAAGATCCTGCTCTGTGGTGAACTTGCCAGCGGCTGCTGCAAGAGAGGAGCCCTGAAGAGGAGATACAAGGACTCCCTGAAATAACATCTCAGCCTTGGTCATATTGATCATTATCATTGGTCTACTCTGGCCTCCAGTTGGGAGACATGGAGACATTATATGTAACGCTGCTGCTTCTTTTGAGAAAACACACAGAATCATTCCTGAGGAGAAAAGACAAAGCAGAAAGAATCGTGTCTTGCCAATACCGCCTAAGGAGACTTTCCGCTGTGCCTTTTGCAACCAGACATGCCTATCTCGCATTGGCCTTTTTAGCCACCAGCACATTTGCAGCAAGCGTGGGTAGAGTCCTTCTTAAATCTTCATTTGCGAAGCCTAGCCATGATGATGAGTAATGTAGACTGATCTATGAAGCTGCTGTAACTAGGGGGAGAGAAAACCCCAACCAGCAAAATTGAACCCCAACCCTTGAAAGGAAGTAATAAAATTTTGAATCTGTATTGCTCTTTGACTTAGTTTCCCACTCTGACTTAATTTCCTACTCTATCCTGTCCCCATGAACAGCAGCTACAATGGCCTGGAAAGACAAAGAAAGTTTTGAATTGAAAAACAGATAAAGGAGGTCAGAGTGTCAGACATAGTTAATACCTGTCTCTTTTTTACTGCTGAAAATGCTTTTATCTTCAGGTGGTGGTGGTGGTGTCCAAAAGGAGGTCTCTCACTAGAGTTCTGGTCTTGTTTGTTTCAGAATGTAGCAGACTTAACTGTAAAAAATTTACTATATTTAGTGTATGTTATGAGGTTAAGTACTTTCAGAATAAAATTGTGTTATTACACGTTCAGCTTCTAAAATACCACAAGGTTTTTTGCATATTGTCTGTACAGTAAAATTTTGGTTTACATTAACAACCTCAGTGTAGTCTTCATTCTTACAACTGCAACTGCTTTTATTTATTGTGGTTTGCTTGCTCAGAGTTGTATTTAATTCTTGTTCTAAGGTCTCCATACCATATCCTCAGTCACAACATAAGTCAGAAAGAAAACTTGTTAGCAGCCACTGCCTTGACAGGACAGCAAAGCATGTTCTGTATAGGAATGTAGTTTTTGAACTGATAACTCTGTCTGAGCAATGGATTCAAGTCCCAACAGGGAGTGGTTAATCTTGTTTGTCTCCACATGCTTAGTAGCTCAAGTATGGATCAACTCCTGCATCCATACCAGCCTGAATCCATAAATACTTCAATATCTTTTACTTAAATTGAAGCTTAAGCTAAAGCTTTGTGAATTAGAGCTGGCTGTATGTGAAGCCAGTTCAGATGCTGCTGTGTACTGCTCCTATCTTGTCTCCAGTATTGTGTCTGAGACAGTAAGTGCTGCTTCAGGCTGTAAAACTTGTCAAAAGTGTGCAGAGAGAGACATTTGAGTAATTCTGCAGGGCTTGTCTCGTGTTGAAATAAATGCCTCTTGGTGACAAGTTTGCCTAGTCTGGCATGGCCTCCAAATGGTAGATGCGGCCACTGCAGCGCTTCTGCATCACCTTCTCCATATTTAGCCTCTTGCCCATGTTTTTATCTACTTCCTTCTTAGGCCTGAATCCCAGCCTCCTGCTGCTACATGCACTGGAGTGCAAGGCCCATGTCCTGAGCAACCTTGGCAGCCAGTGTTCAAACTCAACAAAACACGCCCTTATTCAATGGGCTTGCAAGTTAAGTCATTTTGGAGTGGTAATCTTGTCAGATTTGAAATTAAGAAAGTGAGTGGTAAAGAATGGAGCCACTTCTAAAGTTCAGAGTCCAGCTTTAAGGTCTGCTTTAGACTTCATACGAGCTTTTCAGCAGGCGACTGTCATCAGTTTCACTTCTATAAAAGTAGGTAGGAGAGAAGGAAGATTCAGTTAATGTCTTGGATATTTGGATTATGGCGATAACTTAGACATAGCCTGTGCAAAGGTGATTTGAGTGATCCAGTCCTTTTCAGTAAGATTTATATAATAACTTGTTTAAGACTTGGATAGTCTGTTTCTCTTATGAAATCTTAGGCTGTTGATGTTCACTGCTATAGACAAGCATTTCTGGTTCTCCAACAGCTCAACTAAATTAAATGTGTATAATATAAAACTAACTTTAAAGGTTCTTTGTTGCAGTACTATCTGGCGTACACAGTTCTTTGAAGTAAAATTTTGGTTTAACAGTGCTTTTTTAGTGGTAGTCTGGTGCAACATGTAAATCTCCTTGGACTAATCTTTCAGTGAACAAAACAGGTCTTAAGAATGTTTTGTTAATGCTGGATTTACCTAAAAAATATTTTCTAATAGCCAAAATAATAATTTTTCAAAGATTGTTTGCTTTGTCAAAATTGCTGAATATGTTGTAGAAATTTCTTTCCCCTGTGGCAAAGATGTGCTGCTGATGCTAAAAATCCAGAAGTGTGGAAGAAGAAATGATAGGATAAAATGAAAACAGCTCTTCAGGTGTTTTATTTTTTAAAAAAGTACCAAAAACCCCACAACTGCCTTTTGCCTGCTAAGGCGAACCAGGGAGTAACTTCAGTCACTTCTCTGAACATCCCATTAAGCTTCTTAGAAGCCTTTAATATAAAATTGAAATGGGCTTGAAGGATCCCTTCAGAAGGTTTGATGTTATGACTAACTTGAGTTTATAAGGCTTTACCTCTTGCCTTAGATTTAGAATGTGGTTTAAATGGATGTTTTCATTAGATTACTGACTGAACCTAGGACTACAATTGGCTCCATAAAAGCACAGTAAAAACTATGTAAATGCTGTTTCACTTCAGGAGAGATTTTACTTTCTTTGCTGGCAATACTTACTTACATCTTTGAAGTGTGATTATTGTTTATACTTTTGAAACCATCTTGAAGCGGAAGTCCATAAAAATTTATTTACTATGTGCTTCTGTGTTTTTTTGCAAACAAACATCCCCATACTTCCTCAGGTAAAGTGCCTGCTAAGATGTCTAAGTACAGGGTACACAATGTATCATATTTTTCTCATACAATCTGATCTGTTTTGTGAACTAAAACACTATTATATCAGGCAGATATTGTACTCATCACTGCATTTCCAGACTTTTGATAGGAAAATGAACTGTCACAAACAATAAGTTTGCCATAGATCTTAGACCATGTGTGTTTAACGCCAGCTTGGTAATTCTGTGTAGTCAAATGGGAAGGACCAAAATTGTGTTAGCATGTAATTAAGGATGGGGAGGCACAGTTGTGCAGTCAGGGTATAATGCACGAGATTTGATAATATACCTTACAGTTAAAGGTTTGTGCAATTTAGGTGACTGCTGACTTATAACTTAATGCGTATGAGTGTATTAATTTCTGCTGTACACATACGAGCTAAGCTTAGAAACCAAAACTTCCCCGAATTCCACTTAAGGTTAAATATGCTACACCTAGGAAACAAAAATGTGATGTGGTTTTCTTGCAGGAATGAAGGCATTAACTATGGCATTAAAGGAGAGGGATTCTTGTGCATTTAACTGAGTAACTCTGCAAAATGAAAGCTGGTTTTGCCAGAATTGCCCAGAGAATAGCTTCTCATCAAGGTCTTTTTTTCATTAGCAATTACACTTTTAAGCTCCTGTTTTAGCTTTGCACCTCTCAAAAAAAGCTACCAAGTTTTTTATTAAATTATCAGTTTTATTTTAATTTAATGAGTCTTGTTATATTTAATGAGTCTTGATGTTATAGAGGGGGGAAAATGCTTGGAGGCAGGCACTAGGGCTTTGTACATCATTAATTTTCTGAAGTCTATAAGCAGCTGATGACAGAGGCAAAATGTGTCAGAATAACAAAGCAGTTATTCTATGTGTTTACAGCTGTGCATGTCACTGTGAGGTCTCAGCTCTATATAAAAGGCATTTGTTTCTCTGGATGTTGATTTAGCATAGTATCTTTCCACTTGATACTGGATGTGAAATGAGCATCTTGTCTATATTTAAAAATATTTCCCATGTTAATTGGTTGTAGTGGTTAAAAATAAAAGCAAGGCTGTTTATTGTCATTTTAGAAAATTAACGTTACAATAACGAAAGCTTATGTGTTTAAATCGGTACTACCAATAATGAAAGGTTTGGTAATATATATTGCTTTTGTATTTCTTTTTTCTTCTGTTTAGGTTAAAAACTTTGCTGTTATTTATCTTGTGGATATCACTGAAGTACCAGACTTCAACAAGATGTACGAGTTGTACGATCCCTGTACTGTCATGTTTTTCTTCAGGTACACGATGGTTCTAGAATGTAACTCATTTTTGTTTGTCAAATACAGTATCTCAGTAAATAATTTCTAAATGTATATTAGCATACTGATGCTTATATTTTCATTGCTTTACAAAAGAGTCAACTGATTAAATAGGAAAATGGCTTGATTTTCAATTAGCCTAGTAACAGTGGTTGATAAGAGTACAAATTAGTGATAAGTGATTAGTGAAAGCTGGTTTTATTACCCATTGTTTTTAGTTTTAAATCTCAGAACACGTACAGAATGGTGTAGTAGTACGGCAGTCAAGCTTGTCAAATTTGCTTTAAAGATAAATCCAAAGTATGAAGGTTTTTTTGAGCTAAGGCATCTACAGTGATGAGATAAAACGTCCTACCGACAAGCGTAGAAGTCTCTCTGGAGACAGACAGTAGTGGGAAAGAAATATACAAACAATGAGGAATATGCTGAAGGATAATTGCACTGAGTAGCCATTTTTGCCGGCCTGATTGCTGTCCTTATTGTTGCTTTAGAAATTGGCAGTAAAATGTGAGCTTGACTGACAGGAGTGGATACTCTCTCTTGGATCCTTATTTTGAAAGCCTGTTTATGTTATAAAGGCTTCTTTTGAATCCTACAAAGCATTTTAGAGGCATATAAAGTTTATTTCTGAAATATAATGCCATGTTAACTTTGAGGTTTTTTTCTTTCTCTTTAAAGGAACAAACACATCATGATTGATTTAGGTACAGGTAATAACAACAAGATCAACTGGGCAATGGAAGATAAGCAAGAGATGATTGACATTATAGAAACTGTTTATAGAGGAGCCCGCAAAGGTCGAGGTTTGGTGGTATCGCCAAAAGATTATTCCACTAAATACAGATACTGACGTTTCTTTGGAATGCCTTTTCTCTCAGCTCTACATCCACTTGAATTTATTATTGCGTGTGTACATATATGTATATTAAAAAAAAAACAACTACAAATCCTTGAACTTTGAGCATAATTTTAATTATTTAAAAGGTTTAAAATCTGTTTGAAAAGTAGAAGACTCAAAGCCTGTGACTGTCTTGACTGCAGTACTATTGTAGCTGAATTTTGGGGTTTTATTTTTTAAAGACTTTACTCTTTGTTGTCCTTTTGGTATTATGTATTTTGTACACAGAAAGCCTGTTTGGAGAAAAACATTTTGACTGTTTTTGTCTGCTTTTGTTACAAAAATATCTGGGAAAACGATAGTTTTTTAAAAGAATAAAGTGAGAGTTCCACATATTCACTTTAATTTTTTTCAACTAATTAAATTTGTGAATGAACACAGATGTAATTGGATGCAAATCCATTATGTTGGAAGATGAAGGCTTATCACTTTTTTCAGGATTTACTTGTGTAGAATATTAGCCTTATGTTTCCACTAAAAATGGGAATAAAACTCTAAGGTGCGTTCATTAGTATTTAGCAAAGATCAGATAATTAATATTTGACAAAACTCAGAGAAAACATCTTCCATGACTTTGCACACAACCTTCTCCCCATCAGCTTAATTGACTTGTGGTGACAGACTCCTTTTACGTGGTGGTTGTGCACACAGGAGGCAGTTTTAAAGTACTCAGTAGATTCTACAGAGCCAAAGCGTAATTGCTGTTCTGGAGCTGGCTGCACAGCCACCAGCTGAAGAAACCACGAGCCATGCTTTCTGTCACTTGATCTCCAGTTTGTCTAATGGTATACTAAAATGCATATATACTCGGGAGACTTGGACTGGATTCCACTGTGACATGACTCTTGAAATTTCTATTTGCATTTCTGCCAACTTCTGGAGTTGGCATTCTGTGGGAGTTTGTTTTTTAACATGATACATGCATATTTACAGGATTAATTAAAAAACAAACCAGCCTACGCAGGAATGAGATACCTGTACTTTTTGGTCCAGTTTGTCACAAGACAAAGCAGAATATGCTTTTTTACCGTCAAGCGTATTTTAGAGGATTTAGAATGAGTCACAGAAGTGAAACACAAGGGTCCCAATTCCTGCTGGAGTTAATCTGGTTTACAGTTGTGGTGGGTTGCCCTTGGCTGGATGCCAGGTGCCCACTGAGCTCCCCTTCTCAGCTGGACCGGGGAGAAAAAACAACATGGAAAACAACTCGTAAGTTGAGATAAGGCAGTTTAGTAAAGCAAAGGCGAAAGTTTGTGTGCACACGAGCCAAGAGGGAAAAAAAAATGTATTCTCTACTTCCCATTAGCAAGTATTCAGCCACTTTCTGGGAAGCAGGGCTTCAGCATGTGGAGGGGTTGCTCTGGAAGGCAATATTTGTAAAATAATGGATGCCCCCCCTTCTTCTTTTCCTTAGCCTTTATAACTGAGCTGATGTCATATGGTATAGAATATCCCTTTGGTTAGTGTGGGTCAGCTGGCCTACTTATGTCCCCTCCCAGGATCTTGCTCTCAATTGGGGAAGGAATGTTACAGTGCTGACCCTGTAACACCCACTGGTGTGTTACCAACACCTTTCTGGCTACCATTGCAAAGCACAGCACTGTGAGGGCTGCTATGGGGAAATGAACTCTATCTCAGCTAGACCCAATACAACAGTGGTAATTCTGCAATCATTTATGTTGGCAGGGACAACCAAACTCGAGTCACAGTAGGTCCCACTTGCGTAGGTTGCCCAGGACTGTGTCCAGTGTTAAGTATCTTGTTTGAACTAAATGGTCTTGAAGGTCTCTTCCAACCCTGATGATTCTGTGATCTTTTAAGGATGGAGATTCCTCAGCCTTTCCGGAAGGCCTATTCTGCTGCCAGTGCACCTTCCTAGTAGAAAAATGTTCCTTGTATCTAGCTGGAATTTTCTGTGTTTCAGCTTGTCTCAAATTACTCTCTGGTGTAAAACACCTCCAAGAGTCCTCTAAGTTTTCCCCATGCTTTATTAGGGGGTAGTTGTTGGCAGCAGGAAACTGTAGTTTTTTCTAAAGGCTGACCTAACAGAATTCCAGAATTCTCTCAAACCCTTGCATGCTTTGTACTCCACCGTATCTTGGTGGCTTTCTTCTGTAACTCCCTCACAATAGATATCTTGACCTGGTGAGCCCCCAAATTGACACAATGTGGTGTGGTCTCATGGCAACTGAATGAGGGGAAGGACCTGCTGGTTCATCTTATGCTAATGCTGACCAGCAAGTGGCTGCAGCCTTTGCTGCCAGGGCACCCTGCTGACTCACAGTCACCCCCCAGACCCCACTCCTTTCCTGCAAACCAGTGTGCCAGCCAGCCCCTCACAACTGCTGTGTCCCAGAGCCCAGCTTAGCGCATGCCTTTGAACTTCATGAGGTTCCTGATGGCTTATTTCTCCAGCCTGTCCTCCAGTACATCAGCCCCAGTGTGACAATACTTGCAAGTTACACTGACTAAAGCATTGATTGGAATGATTTCTTGATATTAATGAAGACTCGAATAGATGCATTTATTCCTCATTAGATATTCACCTGGCAATGCTTCAGTTTCTGCATTTATGGTAAAAGGTTCCCACTGCCTTTCAAGCTAAATCTTTCCTGCAGAGTGCCAATGTTTTGGTGTACAACAACCTTAAAATTAATGCAGATGTCCTATTTTCTCTGACTCTACCACGTTGTGTTCAGGAATTATCTGACAACTAGAATTCCTCATTACCTCAAAGTTTATAAAATAAACTCTTTCATTAAAACAGCTGACATTAAAGCACTGAAATTGGCACAATCTGCATACCTGGGTGATGTTATCTGCATTGGTGTGTGGCTTTGGGTGGGCTTGTGAAAAGAGTAACAACTGAGCATCTGTACTCTGTGCAAATACTGCCATTTCTTTTAGTGCAGAATGGTTTATATTCATTTGACCTCTGAAGCACCTTTGTAGTAACATCAAATAAGGTGCATTTTGTGATGTAAAACATTTAAAGAAGCAAGAAGATGGCACATGCAAATAAAAATTTTTGTCCTAGAAGGATCTTGTTATTCTGGAACACTACAGGTAAAAAGGCAACAAAGAAAACTTATTATTTTAATATTATTAAAATAAATGAAATATATTTTCATAGATTACAAAAATTTGTGATTGGATAAGTTCACTATATAGGATTTAGTTCTTTATCCAAAATAGTGGGTTTGCCTTCTCTGAAACTAACAGTTCTTTTTCAGCTCCAGGAAATACAGTGCCACATTTAGATAAGTAAACCCATCATTCTACTTTTTTTTCTGGGGCAATAGTTTTAAAAAAAAAAAATTAAGATTCTGTCATGACATGATGCAAACACGTTTGTTTTCTCTTTACATTTTTTGTCAATGTGACACTGATTGTAAACTCCTGGAGTCAATGCAGTGCTGTTCTGCCTTTGTGTTTCTTGAACACATCCTCCTTTCAATGCTGCAAAGAAACAGTGAGTAAGTAGGTTATTTAATTATTCATGAATGTGATTCAGCATGAAAATATGGAGATCTCTGTACAGTTAAATACAACTTTGTAGATTGTCTTTCTGTGTTTCTGAAAATTATTTCATAGCTTATCACAAAAAAGGCATCACAATGAATAGAGGCCGAAATTACTTCAGAATATTTACAGACGTTTCTGTCTTTCACCGGGTAAGCAGTCTCAATCACAAGAATAATTGATGTGTCTCAATTTGAATCAGGAAAGTGTGCAACAACAGGAAGACAACATCACCTGCATCCACAGAACAGGGAAGCAAGGCCGTCTCATAAATACTAAGAGTGCATGTAAGAGGTGTGCTCTGAGCCATGCTGGGAAGCTGAAGCAGGTTTAAAAGCACATGTACATAAATTTATACCAGTGGGAATCCTCAGTCAGCTAGGTTAGCATACCTGAGGGACAGGAATGGTGGGCAGGAGCACTTTAAGCCACATACATTTCATTACAAATGTACAGCCTCAATTTACATACTTGGGCTTAGTTTGCACTACCCCCCTCATACATGGCACTCTGCTGAAAGAGACGCAGCAAGATGCAGCTTTTCTTTTGTAAAACTGGTAGCATTCTTTGGCTCTTGGCAAACAGAAATCCAAGATAATTTTAAATATGTTTTTAAAAAGCACACTTTTGAATATGTAAATATGTAAACGTTATTTTCATGCTAATTCTTGCCCATCATTCAAAATTAAGTGGAAATATATAAAATACATAAACACTTAATTAAGTTTCTTTACTCTCAAGTCTTCATCAGTGTTCTCTTCTATCCCAGCCTCTGTCATCAGGTCAGCAACACGCTTCTCCAGGTCATTGATGCGCTCACCCATTTCTTCCAGTAAAAAGTTAAAGATAACTTATTTATAAATAAGAATTCTATAATTTTACAGCGTTTTTTTCTGTAAGAAAAACAAGCACCTTTTTTTCAGATGTCTCAGCATCTTACTTATCCACTATGCTCAAGATTGTATTGTTACAAGACAATCCCACTTTCTTGCAACAGACAAGCACTCAAGTTCTTAATACCAAAAGCCTTTGTGTATATCCAGGAGTGGAGTATTTTCTGTCTAAAAGATTGTTTTCTTTCTGAGGAACTATTTTAGGTGATACCATATCGTCAACCTACACAATCAGAATACGAGTGCTGCTAAAACATTATTCTTCTCTTACACTAAAGCAGCTGCTTCCTGAAATGCCGAGTTTCAGAAAAAAATGTAATAAATGTGCAGTTTCAGAAAGCAGAGGTAGTTTCTGTAAGTATATCAAATGAAAAAGTGCAGAGCCCCTTCAGGTCTTAATTTCTCTTTCTGAGGGCTCACTTTGCCACACTCAGGAGGCCAACAGCTGTTTCAAACCAACACCACATGGCTAATTTGAGTTGCATTTTTGAAGATGGTTGTGGGTTTTTTTAATGTACCTTCAGAATCTTTACATATAATTTGATCCTTATTTGAAACAACTGCCGCACAGAGACTACTTCGCTACTTGTAGTAAAACCTTTTCTGGGATTTCTTTCTTTAGAAAAAGGATAAATAAATGGG